ATTTTAAAAATTTGAATTTGCATGATTTTTTATTTCATTTCTATGACAACTCTTAACACCTTACAAAATCCTTTACATTTGGAAGATGGAAAACAACAAAAAATTAAAATGAAACAAAACATGAAAACAAACCAAAATATTTACTTTTACATTTGTATATGAAATTGCTAAAGTGTAATTGCAAAAAAATCTTTTGACAAATGTATAAAAGTTACTGTATCAAAATGTACTTCCACAATCCATATAGTGTGATGTTCTTTTTTCTTGCAACAGCTTTGAAAAAGTACAACTGTCTCATGATAAGGCCAAGATAAATAAATAGTGTGTTTCCTATTCCATTCCAACCTGAGAAAAAATAAGTTAGGAAGGAACATTATTGTAACATTTTGTTGGCAAGCTGCCATTCTCTCTAAGGGATTTGCAGTCACAACTTTTTCTGATTAATGTTTATAAGATGTGCATTTTTGCAAAGACAAAAGTGAGCGAGATAAGGATTTCTAAGAAAGAAACCAAATTTTTTTACTTCTGTAAAGATTAAAGAAGCAGATAAATTTTTCATGGTAGGCTCATATACGTGTACATAAGATGTGGTTGGAGAACTGGAAACTCACAATAAATTTATATAGGCCTAATACTTGAACATTGTATAAAAATAAGGTGAAGTATAATTCCTGCAATATTCAACTTGTGTAGATACTTCTCCTTTCTTAAAAATACCTCATCCCATTACACAAACAAACCGATAACACAAAGAAAAGCTAAATGATGATCTAGGACAATCAAATTGAACAAAGAAAAAAAACATGAAGAAAATTTTTATCATCAAACAAAAAATGTATAACAGAGACACTGTAAGAAATAAACAAGGAAATAAATGTACATACAGTTAAATGGGTTCTTGACAGTCTGAATGTTGCACAGAAATGTGACTACCATTTAAAACATGGTTTTAGTGGAATCAACATTAATGATCTTTATATGTGGTTTAAGTTTCATTTGTCATCAAGTGTCTTGTACTACGACTTTTTCATGCTTGGCTTTAGCTCATCGAAACAGGACCTTAGGAAAATGTGTGGCTTTTTGTTTGGGTCAAATCCTTCATGCCCCTAAAAAGAAAGAAATTAATATTATAAAAATTACCCTTGATCAACACCATTGCGTAATAATGGTCAGTGATTATACCTCTTAAAAAGAAGTCCTTCATGTTTCTATCAAATGAATATCTATCTACTCATTAAAAATTCACACCATCTCAAAAAGAAAAATGAAAGGTTTTAAGAATTTTCAGGAAAACTGAATCATTTAATTGTGACACTTTTAAAGGCCGAGATTTTTAACCGTACGGTTTTCTCAGGTAAGGGGAGGGACTAAATTTTACATGCTTGGCACCCCGAGGCATTGACGGTCGTGCAGACCGTGGGAAGCGCTAATCCCTATACACAAACAGTATACACAGGAAGTCCATGAGTATTACCTGTACAGCTTGTTAGGCCTACTGTTCATTATAAAATTAGTAGATCTCGACTTCATTAAAAAAAATGTCATTAGTAATAAATGATATTTGCAAAAGTCCATAATTTTCAGACTTATATCTAATATATAAGGCAGAAATTCCATCGGCCGACTTTTGTAAAAATCTACGGTATGTACCTTACATTGAACGTCACAGCACCAATTAGTTGAGTTCACTGTAAAAAAATATAATGAAATACAATTTCAAATGTAAAATATTTATCCTTGACTGTCTCTTTCAATATTTTAATAAATGTTTATAACTATCGTAAATATAGTAGCATAGAGCTTCGATCACGGTCAGTAGTAACAGTTACTTCCCGTTTATATGAAAAGTCGCGTGGTCCTATTTTTAGCAAAGGTGTCCTACTTTGAAAAATCCGCAATCAAGAAATTAATATTATTAACAAGTGTGTGTGAATTTGAAGTTAATGTAAATTATAATAGTATAACAAAAAACAAAATATTAAGTCTATTTTTAATACCTGTGACCTTGAACGGAGGTAACAACCCACGCAGTAAGAAATGCGCGGTTATAAAAAATGAAAAGAAAAGAAAGAAAGTCTTAATTTCTAATAAGGTATTTTGCTTTCATCATTACTTTAATTACCAGTTTATACTAGTGATATTTTCGTCCTTTATTTTTATCGTAACTGGTAATTTTTTTCGCCACGTCTCATAACAAGAATATTTTACGAGTGAAGACATGATTGCACTTTTCATTAATAAAAAAAATCATACCCAGTCTTGATTTATTTTATTGAAACAATTTGAGAAAATTTTCGTTTTTTCAATAACATGTTTTTGATTCAGATAATTCAGATAATTATAATCAATGATAATCAAGATGAAATGGCTTCCTAATTGTACTGGTAATTTAGCGGTAAACATCAGAAGACCAAAAGTTAATTCGATGGTGACCACGAGTGTCAAAGAAGGTGAAATAGGTATACACAGGGACTAGTAGCTAAATGTCAATCAATTTTAAGTACCCAATGATGAACCTTAATAAATTTGATTGACAGGGGAATACGGACCAGGTAAATCTGAAGGCGGTGCTTATTATCTCGGGCTTTAAGCTTGATTCGCTAGGCTGGCAAGATGTCTCTAGAACTTTGGTTTTATGGGTATAATGGCTAGGTAATTCTCCTTCTAAAGCTGAACAATTTCTTTACACACTCTTTACTTCCGCTACCATTTTGGAACATAACAGCAAACAGATCGTAACTATCATTACTTTTCAGGACCATTTCAAGACTATATGGTAGCCTTTCTTGCCACTCCCTACAAGATAAGGGTCCGGGTGCCGTACCGTGTCTTCTTTCGTCATTTTGCAGAATTTAGCGTCAAAAATGTTAATTGCTACCTTTGCTCTTTTGGCCTGCTACTCTGTATAAATATACTCCCCTTTAATTGGAACAGATTCCAGAAGTACTGCAGTTTCAAGCAAAAAAAAAAATAGCATAAACTTCATCGTTTCCACATCCTTTAAAGTTCGCTATTTCTTCTTGCTTCTTTTTTGTGTTTTTGAATAATGCTTGCTCTGCATTTTTCCCAGACTGTGACACTATACAGGTAGTTTAATACAAAATGCAGCATACTTGGAGTCATAAGGAAGCGTTTTGAAAATATATCAAATATTTTTTCCCGTTCTTGTACGAGATCTTCTTCTTGACATCCCAATGACTTTAAACAACCTTTCCAAATCTTTCCAAAATCCTCCCTATCCAGTTGTAAATCTCTTTCACAGTCAATTTCAACAGAATTTGCAATTGCTATGAAGCCCTTTTCAATGAAAATGAATACAATTCTTTTATCTATGAATATTTCCTTAATTTTGTAAACAAAATGAGAATTGAAAATAGTGATATGGTCTATGATGAGACAATCCTCTGCCTACAAATTTCTACGAAAAAGAAGTGAACCTTTCTAAATTTTTATCTCTGATTTCTATTTTATTCAAGTCAGTGTAATGAACACTGGTGCCATTGTTTCTTTGACATTCAAGTATGTAGTACAAGAGGGAAGATGTTTTTCCCAAGCCCTGAATTCCACTTAGGTAAGTCGACGGCTCCCTATTCTGTCTAAGATAATCAGTTATGCCAACAGAGACAGTATGAAATTTAGTCTAAAAGAAGGATTTTCCTGATTTGAAATCATCTATATCTGCAAACAGTCTAAGACCCTCAATGTGTGTTAAATGTTACAGAATATTTTTATCAAATTCATCGGGGTTTTCTGAAATTTGATGATTTAGATGAATTTTTTTTTCAAAAATACATATTGATAAATATAAATACAATGTTGCTTTCTACAAAGGTAAAATACATATTAAGGTAGTACAAAACACCCGTGGATTCTATTTTTTACTAATTTTTTAAAGTACCGGAGAAAAAAAGATTAATATTACTATATTAACAACAATGAATGGTCTCTGTAAGAAAAATAACAAGTTTTAGCATGTTTGCGTCATATTTTGTAAAAAAAAGCAGAGAATCCTATGTACATGTATTGGTAACTTGAGAGCTTACATTTTTGAACTTCTACACCCTCTAATAGCTTCTATGTAAGCTTTGAATCCAAATTAGTGCTGTTTTAAAGTAAGTATCGTTTTATTAAGTTCTTAACTTCAAACTATCAAAATTTTACAAGAATTCTGATTTTTACATCAAAGGGGCCATATTTGGCCGTTACCCTACCTTGTTCTCTATCTTGCTTTTCAATCTGATTCTAATATAAAAATACAAAACAATATTATACAGTAATTTGCTATCTCTGTACAATTTATTCAACACGTCTTGCTTGATATATCTATGGCACGCCAAATTCATAAAAATTAGCTAAACATAGTTTCACAGTAGATAACCTAGGTTTATCACTTGTAAACTATAATTACGGACTGTAAACTACAGTTAACAAAGTAAATCTATATTTTACATCTGTAAACCATAGTTAACGCAATAATCTATGTTTCACAACCGTAAACTATACTTAACACCGAAAACAATCATTTGGGATTGCAAAACATAGATTATCTGATAAATACAGTTTCACAATTTGTAAACTATAGTTTACAAACCCTTCATTTTATTTAACGATCTGATAAATATAGTTTCACGATTTGTGAAACTATGATTAACAACTCTTAACTATAGTTTACGATTGTAAAATATAGTTTACAATCGTGAATCTATGTTTATCAACAAAATCTATTGTTTACGCTTTAATTCAGACAGATAAACTTAGATTAGCATTCGTAAACTATAGTTAACGACCGTTAAATATAGTTTTACAGATGCAAACTAAAACGTATTGTTAACTATAATTAACGGCTTGTAAACTATAGTTTACAGCCGATAAACTTAGTTTATCAACTGTGAAATTATGTTTAGCTCTTTTTTGTGAATTTGGCGTGCCATATATATCCTTCGATGATACAATCCACGTTACGTAATTCCTAACAATTCTCGTGTATTTCACATGTAATTTGAGAAAAAAGATCTGTATCTTGTTTTCCTAAGTTTCATGTCGTTTTCTCCTCTATTTTGGGTGACCGTTACATAACAAACAGTGCAATTAACGTTATTTTCTGTGGATAATCTTCACTCAGATAAAGCAAAGAGAAAACATTTACTCTGTATGTGAATCGCTATTAAGGAATTTTTCAAAATGGCCGTCGAATGTGTGATAAAAAATGCAACAAGTACAGTTGGAGAAGGTCCCCACTGGGATGACATGACAAATACACTTCTCTATGTGGAGCATCAGGAAAACGCTATCCATAGATTTAACCCAGAGACGAGCGTTGGTGATAAAATAATACTAGGTAAATAATAAATATTTCACAAATGTTTAGAGAACCCAATTTTCACCTGAAATGACCCTCTTTACACATTGCTGAAATTCAATATTCCTGTTGGTGTCGATGACAATTCTTCTTTCTCTGTAATTCTGCATTTTGAAAATGAAATGATTTTTGCCTCGTACCGCAAGTACATGGCTTTGAAAAACAATATTGTAAATAATTTGAATATCAATTATATAGTAGGACACAATTACAAAATATATATTACATAGTAGAATACAAGTGCAAAACACAAGGGTTAAATTTTGACTAGGTTGTGTTTTGCTTTGTTTGTGAAACACTGAGACTTCTTTTTGGAGTCATTACTATCTAGCCATCCGAGAGGTACAATTCCCCTCGCCCGGAGAACCCATTAATCGTATTGGCTGAAAAAAAGACATGAATAATTGTTTTATTATTTGATAATATTATAAAAACCCTCTGCAAATTATTCAACTCGCACATAATTGTTTTGTAGAGGACACTGTAGGATTTGTGGTACCCGCTAAAAAGGGTGGATTGATAGCTGGCGTCGGTCGTCGTCTAGTTCATGTTGACTGGGATACGAAAAAGGTGACCAAACTTCACGAGGTGGAGAAGGGTTTAAAGACATGCTTTAATGATGGAAAATGCGATCCAAGAGGAAGGGTCTGGGCAGGCAGGCATTTATATCCACTATTTTATGTTCTCCTGACTTTTTACAGATCAATGGGTACCACTCTTGGAAAGTACATGTACATATATTTAACAAGTTTCATTTCTTCTGTATATATTTTGCTTGCAGGAACAATGGGGCCTTATGATCCTGACGTGGAGAATATGCCTAAAATTGGTAGTCTATATTGTCTTGACCTGGACGGCAGTCTGCACACAATGGTGAAAGATGTTGGTATCTCTAACGGTCTTGCTTGGACCAGTGACGAAAAAACAATGTACTACATTGACTCGACACCACGAAAAATATATCGCTATGATTATGACGTAACTACAGGACAGATCTGTAAGTTTTAATACCCAGGAAGCCAATATTGATATTAACCGGTTCTTCCATTGATGTAATGATTATGTGTTGCAAAATTTGCATTTCCTTAACTAGAGTGTAAAATTAAAGAAATAAAAGCTTAAGTCATTAATAGTTAATGTATTAGTAGTAGGGGGGGGTGTAGCTTTGCATAGGTGAAAATCTGCAATTTCTAAATTATTGTAGCTAACCAGAAAGTGATTGTAGACCACGCTGGAAAACCATTACTAGACTTCGGTTTTCCTGACGGAATGACCATTGATACAGAGGGTAAACTATGGGTAGCATGCTTCGTTGCCAGTAAAGTTGTTCAATATGACCCACAGACAGGTAATGTTCTTATTAAGATTTTGATAATTATAAAAATGAATATTCACCATCTTAATTGCTCTGCAATTCGCATGCAGTACTTGTTAATATTCATAAAAATTTGTCGCCTAGCTGATACTATTCAATGATAATATAAAATACTAGTAATTACAAGTCTATCTACATGTATATTGAAGAATTAGTCTTTTCATAAGTCTATATACAGTGAAACCTGTCTAATCCGACATGTACTGGGAGACGAATTTTGTGTCGGAATAGACAGGGTGTCTGATTGCACAGTGTAAAAAAAACATGAAAAAATGGGAAAGAAATTTAACATCGGAATTCATAGTGTGTCGGATTGCACAAGTGTCGAATTAGACAGTTTTCACTGTATAGTTTAATTGGGTGTAAGTGTGTGTATATACTTAAGTGAATTATATATATGATTTACATTTACGAGTATATAGTGCCTTATAATTATGTAGATACACGAACATGTATGGATTTACTTTAACTTCCCTAGGTAAACAACTGCAGGCTGTCAACATCCCTGCTTTAGGAATAACGTCATGTTGTTTTGGTGGGAAGAATTTGGATGAACTTTACGTCACATGTTCTGCTCATGAGTTTTCTAAGGAAGAGTTTGAAAAATATCCTATGACTGGTTCTGTTTTCAGAGTTAAAGGTCTTGGTGTAAAAGGTTTTAAGGCACAAATATATGAAGGAGAAATCAAAGAGGGTTAATGGGAGAAAAATATGTTTTGTGCAGAATTTAGCCCGAAGGGCTTTATGATGAATTTACTCTCGTACCAACCCGTATTTATAGCCCGATAGATGTTTTAAAATGATACCTTATTACTTATATTTACATTTGTGACTTATTTATACTTTATATTTGCCTGATTGTGACTTTTAACGTGTGAAATACATTATTTTTAAACCCAACGGCAAGTATGTAATCCACTGAACGCACGTCGACCCTTTATGACGTCACTGAGAAATTTCGTTAAACGATTATGCATACGCACATCTATGACCTCTTGACCCCGTACCTGTATTTATACAGTTATAGATACGCATTGCTTTCAGTAGTGTTATATAAAGGAAAACATTTGCAAATGTATATATTCAATGTTCAAGTGTTTCTATTTGATTATGAGACTTTAATAAATCATATCCAATCTGCGGAGTAGGCTTATTTTCTTTACTTTAGTGAAGAAACCTTGCAGAAAATAGACCATAACGATGAATTTTCACAAAGGAAATTTGAATGGAATTTTGAGCTTGACTACTGTTCGTTACCTCCATATTTCATGCATAATGTTTTAAGAAGCTGTATATATTTTTATGGACAATCTTATAAAGGACAAGATAGGGTAAAACCAGTATTTGGCCCCCGATTTTGGGTGTCTTGCAGGATGATTCAGCACTTTACCCATAAAAACCTGTTGTCACCCCTGCCACAAAATGAGTGTTGGTTTTAAGATTTAGAATATACAGGGGTCACAGTGAGGTCAGGAAATAGGTCATTTTTCGAAAATTCTCATTTTTATGCAAATTTTCATTAATTTTACAGCACATTTTCTTTCGGAAAACATAGAGCACACGCTTACCTATCTACCAGATTTATATATTGTATACACTGATATCAGATGCAGTTTATGTGTAAAAATTTTAGATAGGCAAGCTTGTGCTCTTATAATGTTTTCCGAAAAGAAATGTATCCCAAATATGATGAAATTCGACAAGAATTGAGGAAATTTGGGAAAATGTCCTACCAGTATTTCTGCGCCCTCTAGTGGCTTCCACGTAAGCTTTGAATCAAAATTAGTGCTTGTCTTAAAGTAAGCATCATTTTAACTTCTTAACTACAAACTATCACAATTTTACCAGTGTTCTGATTTTTATATCAAATAAGGGGCCAGATTCGGCTGTTACCCTGTCTAGTCCTTTGTTTGGTTGCCATCTACAGACCGATTGGATAAAAATTGGTCCGGCCCAAATCTTTTTTTTTTACCTCCAAGATGCTATTTTTATGATTTTTTAAAAGAATTTTTTTTTTAATTTGCATTGAAATTATCTGAGAGAAAAATTTTGCACCTTCCTGCCGAGCCAATTCTTTTTTATTCGGAGACGGGAGAGGGCAAACAAACTTTATTTTCAAGTTGGCCTTGAAGGGTTTTTTAAGGAATCCAGTATCAGTCGTATGTCTGTAGGCAGGGTAACCATATTCAATTTGATTGTTTGGAATATTAAAAAAAAATCAACCGACAAATGATTGGTAATGATGGTTGTGAAAAATTTACCTTTTTGAGTAAAATTAATGTTTATTTTGTATCAAATGGCTGTAATTTTTATAATTTAGTCTCACTCTGAGGTAAGCAGATAAACTAGAGAGCAAATATTTACACAACAGGACATTGATAAGTCCATGAAGATTATATACCAGATTTAAACAGTCTGACCGCTGTTGAATATGCGATAAAGAATGCTCAAAGTTAAAAAAGATCCTGTTGAGATATTACATATGTCAGATTGTATAATCTGACTACATGCTCAGATAAATAAAAATTTTTGTAAATTTGTCTGTACAATTCCTTAATAGATTTCTCCTATAAAAACTATCAAGAATGTATAAACTATGCACTTCTTGGTCACACATATGCAAATTACTTTTGAAATACCTCACAAATTACTTGTATATATTGGATACAATTTTTTCTCAAAATCAAAATATTTGAAGATAAAGCAGCTCGTGCCTTCAAAGCCCCTAGACTCTGGACTGCCATCATTCATTGTGTAAAAAAAAAAGTTTGTGAAAATCATATTGCAAGATACTAGTACTTGCTTTTTCATATCTTTTGAAGAAATTGTATGAGATGTGCATCTGGCAATAAGCTCTGATTCCTATTCTGAAAGCTTGTATTTCGATGAATTTTACATTAAGTTTTACTAGGTAACTGAATATCTTCAGAACGTTCATAGTACACCACCACAGCTGGACTATTCTACTGTAAATAAGGCCAAGATGATCATGATGATTAAAGTGCAAAGAGATAGAATTTAGGTTACAACGATAAAACCAGGGAGAAGTAAATAAATCTTCTTCATGCCCGAAGTGTGAATTCTGGAGGGTCTTTTACACAGTGTTCAACAGAATGAATGTAGAGTGTGTTTTAAAAGCTGCAACTACGGTTGGAGAAGGACCACACTGGGATGACGTCACCAATACACTTCTGTTCGTAGACATATATGGCAATAGTATCCACAGATACAATCCAGAAACAGGGGTAGATGATAAATTTGAGCTGGGTAAGCAAATTACGGTCAACAAATTCTTTGTCAACGATATAGTTCGAACGGATTGATCATCAAGAGAAGAAAAGAATTCAATAAGTGCAGCAATTCAAACGCTATCAACTAAACAATTTGGAAACAACTGTTTTGATTTCCATATATTAGATGATCCAGTTGGATTTGTTGTTCCCGCCAAAACTGGTGGACTGATAGCAGGGGTGGGTCGTTGTTTGGTACATGTGGACTGGGACACAAAGAAGGTGACCAAACTTCATGAGGTGGAACAAGGTTTAGATACACGATTTAACGATGGCAAATGTGATCCTAAAGGTCGGATAATTGCTGGTGAGTTAGTCAGTTCAGTAGGGTAATGTCTGGCTGTGTAGAAAGGATTTTTACAGTTAATAAGAGTTTATTTTTCAAGGAACGATGGGTCCAATTGTGCCAGATGTGGTAAATATGCCTAAGATTGGGAACCTTTATTGTTTGGATTTGGATGGTAGTCTCCGCACGTTGGTGAAAGGCGTTGGTATTTCCAATGGCCTGGCGTGGACAGAGGATACAAAGACAATGTATTACATTGACTCCACGCCTCGACAGATCTACAGCTTCGACTACAATGCTGCATCTGGAGAACTTAGTAAGATTATTAATAGTTCTGCGTGCATATTTTCTAGATTCTCGAAGTCACTTAATGTAATGATTCTAAAACAAATGAATAGATAAAACTATTATTAAGTTTCCCATATCATGCACGTCAAAGATTTCCTTTGAAACGTAGAACATAAAAATAGCAGATTCTGTAGAGAATGGATAGATATGGAGCAATATGTTTTCTGTTCACTTCAGCAAATCAGAAAGTAATTGTGGATACTACTGGGAGGCCCCTTGAAGAGATCGGTGTTCCTGATGGTATGACCATTGATACAGAGGGTAAACTATGGGTAGCATGCTTCTTCGCTGGAAAAATTGTTCGATATGACCCCCAATCAGGTAATTTATTCATAATAACTTGATGTACATACAGACTACATGAAGAAGGGATGACAAAAAGATAAATGCAAAACCATTTTTTGTTAATTCATTTTTGGAATCTGGATATAGAGTGGCTTTTCCATGCTGTCATGAAAAAGCTTTTATAATTGCTTACATGCATTCTCATGATCGACTGGTAGATAAAATGATTCAGTATACAATGTATTTATTTTGTTTTGCTTTGAAACTAAAATATCAGCTTTCATATCAGGGTGCGAGCTGCAAAGTGTTAACATTCCGTCTGCATTGAGAATTACATCTCGCTGTTTTGGCGGAACTAATTTAAATGAACTCTATGTCACGTGTTCAGTATACGATGCACACAAAGAAGAACTACAAAAATACCCATTATCTGGCTCAGTTTTTCAGGTCACTGGACTGGGGGTCAAGGGTTTTGAAGCAAATGCATATGAAGTAAAAATAAAACTTTAGACAATAAAAGCATTTTGCTGAAGATCTTACTGTTACTATGTCTGTAGGTATCATGAATATGACTCCAAATAACAGTAATCTGTTTCCTCCTACATTTTATTTGTATGGGCTAGTCTACAATGTGCAGTAGTCATTTTCTCTATTCAAAAATACAATTTACGTTTTGAAAATCACTAGATCCTATTATAATTATGGTTTGTGATCAAGTCAGGGATTTTTTTCCTGTAATAGCTAAGGGCGTCTATACTGCTTGTATGTGACAAGCACACATATTCACATTTTTTAAATAGACAAATCAATGCAGTAGTCTACAAGAACATATTGAGACCGAGTCATGTCTACAGATGGATTTGAAAATTCCAGTATATAATGTACATGAATACACTCCTCCCCTAAACTTCATTTGTGGGGTATGTATAAAGCTAAATTTTTTAAAGATAAATCTGAATTTGCATGATTTTTTTTATTTCATTTCTATGACAACTCTTAATACCTTACAAAATCATTTACATTTGGAAGATGGAAAACAACAACAAAAAATCAAAATGAAACAAAACATGAAAATAAACCAAAATATTTACTTTTACATATGTATATGAAATTGCTAATTGCCAAAAAAAAAAATCTTTAGACAAATATGTAAAATTGACTATCAAAATGTACTTCCACAATCCATATAGTGTGCTGAACTGTTTTCTTGCGACAGCTTTGAAAAAATACAACTGCCTCATAGTAAGGCCAGGCTAAATAAATAGTTTGTTTCCTATTCCATTCCAACCTCAGAAAAAAATAGGGTAGGAAGGTAAGGAAAACATTATTGTAACATTTCATTGGCAAGCAGGCTGCCATTCTAAGGGAATTTGCTGTCACCACTTTTCTGATTAATGTTTTTAGGATGTGCATTTTCTCAAAGACAGAAGTAAGTGAGATTAGGATTTCTTATAGTGAAACCAAAATTGTTTATTTCTGGAAAAGAAGCAGATAAATTTTTCATGGGTGGCTCATATACATGTACATAACATGTGGTTGGAGAACTCAAAACTCACAATTAATTTGTATAGGCCTAATACTTGAACATTGTATAAAAATGCCTCATCCCATTACACAAACAAACTGATAACACGATTAGAAAAGTTAAATGATGATCCAGGGCAATTAAAAAGCACAAAAAAAGAAGGAAAACATTACAAAATTTTTTAACATAAAAAAAAAATGTATAACAGATGTGAGACAGATGTGAGACACTATAATAAGCAAGGAAATAAACAAATTTACATACGGTTAAATGGGTTCTTGACAGTCTTCATGTTGCACAGAAATGTGACTACCATTTAAAACATGGTTTAGTGGAATCAACAGTAATGATCTTTATATTTGGTTTAAGTTTCATTTGTCATCAAGTGTCTTGTACTACGACTTTTTCATGCTTGGCTTTAGCTCATCGAAACGGGACCTTAGCAAAATGTGTGGCTTTTGTTTTGGGTCAAATCCTTCATGCCCCTAAAAAGAAAAAAATAATATTATAAAAATTACCCTCGATCAACACCATTGCATGATAATGGTCAGTGATTATACCTCTTAAAAAGAAGTCCTTCATGTTTCTATCAAATGAATATCTATCTACTCATTAAAGATTCACACCATCTCAACAAGAAAAATGAAAGATTGGAAATCAACAAGCATAAAAAACTAATAACTTGACACTTTCAATCAATCAGGAGTGTTACAGCCAAGTTGACAAATTTTTTTTTCTTTATAAATATTTTAGGTGAAGAGTTGCAATCTGTGGAGTTTACTGCTACAAGAATCGCCTCTTGCTGTTTTGGAGGTCCAGATCTGGATGATCTGTATGTAATAAATTCTATTCATGAAGCACCGGCAGAGGAAATTAAGGAATATCCCTTGGCAGGTCTCTGTTTCGGGTCAAGGGCCTCGGTGTCAAAGGCTACCCAGCAAATGTATACGAAGGTGATATCCCTATGGATTGAAATGGTTACAAACGTAGTTTTGTTAAAGTTATAAATGATATGTCCATTATAAAATTACTTTTGACTTAATAAGAGCTTATCTTGACACAATATGCAGCATTGAATATTTTGTTATAAACTCACTAGAGCCAAGGACTTTTAACTGATTTTTTCTGATGCAAAAGTGATTTGTCGATGCCTGTACAGTCTAGGTCTGTAAACGTTTTACATGTTCAGTTTTCTCCTCTCAAAACCCCTACTTTAAGCCAATACATCAAAACTTGCTTCATTGCATTTTTGGTTAGAGAACTCATGTTTGTTCAATACGCAAGTTTAGAGATTATCTCCCTTGGTGCGCTCTTTCGTGGGGGAGGGGGAGTTTCGTTGCCGCGTAAACAAACAGGTGGGACAAATAGTTGATATTTATATATTGGATACATTGTATCGTCGATACTGGTTTATCATAACTACAGGATTGTCAGTATGCACTCTACATTTTGAGAATAACCGAATTGATTTAAAGACGTCATTTTAAAGCAAAAAAAAAATCGTAACAAAAAAGAAAATGTCGGTTGATGCGAGACTTTTCAGAAGAGGGAAGATATTTGGACCTCTAATAAAAACGGTACACATGTATCTGAACATTGTACGTAGGCGATCTAAATGACACATTGATTCTTTTCCTTATTATAGCTTCAAAAAAACCCACAAACTTTTTGTTTGTACAATCAAGAAAATCAGTTACTTTTTATTAAGACTATGGCGTTTATTTTGTTTTCAAGTACCTATAATTTAAAGTAGATTTGTAAATATGCATAGTTGAACTTGATAAAATCATCAAATGCATCACTGCTTCATATCATTATCTTTTTATAACATTTAATAAATTTTTATAAAAGCCATAAATATCGTTCATTTATTTATGCACGTTTGTATACAGAAACAACCTGTCCCACCTCCCTGCCGAAATGGATACTTTTTGCCCCTCTATCACAGGAGAGTTACAATCTTGAAACTGGCGTATTGAAGACGCAGACCATCTTCTAAAGAGAAATAATAAAGAAAAAGATAAAGTAAGGATCGTTTAAAT